ATAAGCATAGAATAAATGTATGAAAGGAGGAATAAAAAAGTCAAGTCACATTTTATTATATACTTTCTTAAAAAATATTTCTATTACTTAGACTACCAACTTTAGGTTACTCTTAGATTTTCTGGGGCTTGATTTTGCTAAAACACGTTTTATATCCAGAAAGCAAAGAAATCAATTTTTTGAAAGGAATAGCAGATACTTATATTTGATTAAAAGATAACATAACTACATTAAGATTTGAAAATATAATTTTCTCTGAATGTTCATATTTTAAATAATGGCAAATAAAAATTTGTTTTGAAACATCTTAGTTATTTCCTCCCACAGGAAAGTGGAATAATTTGTATTCTAATATGCATCAGAGGTCATTACTTTCATAAGCAAAATTAAGAAGAAGGCCTTGTTCTTTGGAATATTGATGAAAATATTGTTTTCAACCAAAGGGGCTCCATGAAACTTTTAAGGAAGTCTTACCAATTTCTCACTGGCTTACAAGGACAAACATTTAACTTTTTAGGTACAATCAATCAAAACAGTAGTTAAAAACGTTACTTCCACTTACTTTCTTCAACCTAAAAGGGCTTGTAAAGCTGAAGTAATAAATACTTATACATTATTATTAGGAAAACTGCTGCCATTTCCCTTTGGAAGCAGCAATGATAATGATACACTGAAAATATGAAATCACTTTCACAAATAACCAACATTAAACTGATATATCTGATTTGAAATAATTATCCTTCTTAATTTCTTAGAATATTCTGGTAAGGCTAAAATGGAAACAATTCAGGAATGCTGCTGGAATAATGGTCATTTTTTTAAAGATGAATGTTTCCGTCTCAGTGATTACATAACAACAGATTAACCTATAAGCTTGCCCTTCATAAAGAAAAAACTATTCAAAGAAACTATTCTAAATGAACAACGACCATCCTTTGAACTTGATTTTTAATGGCTACCTACTTGGGTCATAAATATTCTAGCCCGAGGGGCACCATTCCCAATCTGCAGTTAGCTATGCCCTCGAAACATCACTTTATTCACTTCAAAGGAGGCTAGAGGGTGACTTTGGTGGGTGAGACCGTGTAATACCTGGGATGTCACCTTGCACTCCTTGGTCTTGAACAGTCCACGTAATGAAATGATTAGCATTGTCATGATGGTCCCTGCTGCTCCCTCAGTTGTCCTCATTGCTGCAGTGTGCTTAGCGGCAAACCAGCGCTTTCAGTCCTGAAGGGCCAGCTGCTTGGTGTTAGCTGGATTTAGTCTGACTCCTACAGCAACTTGCCAGCCGGGTGGTTGGAACATCACCCAATACCTTTACATGATGTTTAAAAAAAGGGCTGTGGTGAGGGATACAAAATTGCTGCTTTTGGCAAATACTCCTTTAAACATTCCTGACAAGCTCTCTTTTGCCTTGGTGAATTTTGAAAAAAGAAGCCAGAACAAAGCAGGCTGTCTCAGGCATCAAAGGCAGATAAATACGTTTCTTTTCTGATAGACAGTAAACCTGCCATTTTTCTTTGGAAAGAATGCCTTTAGTGTTTGGTGCTTAGTGTATTCGTTTATGACTGCTGCTATAACAAATTATTAATACCACAAACTCCTGGCTTGAGACAACAAGCATACATTATCTTACAATTCTGGAGGTCAGAAGTTCAAAATCGCTTTCGCTGGGCTAAAATCAAAGTGTCAGCAGGTCTGCATTTCTTCTGGAGGCTTAGGGGAGAATCCATCTCTTTCCTTGCCTTTTCCAGTTTCCAGAGACCACCTGCATTCCTTGGCTTTTGGCTCCTTCCTCTGTCTTCAAAGCCGGCAGCATAGCATCTTCCCTTCCCTTGACCTCTCCTTCTGTCCTTGTATCATCTTTCTCTGACTCCCAACCTCTCGTCTCCCTTTTATAAGAACCCTTTTAAGTGTGATTATACTGGGCCTCCCTTGACAATCTTTTTATATACTATACAGGTACTCTCCCTGCTGTGGTTTGAAAGTATCCCCTCAAAAATTCAGGTGTTGCCAATGTGACAGTATTAAGAGATGGAGCCTTTAAGAGGTGATTAGGTTATGAGGGCTCCTCCCCTGTGAATGGGATTAGGTGCTCTTACAAAGGGGCCTGACAGAGGGAGTTGGCCCCTTTTATACTCTTCTGCCTTCTACCACCTCATGAGGACATTGCATTCTAGGTACCTCCCCTCTGGGGTACACAGCTTTCTAGGTGCCATCTTGGAAGCAGAGCTTGGACCCTCACCAGACACTGAACCTGCTGGCAGCTTGATCTTGGACTTCTCAGCCTCCAGAACTGTGAGAAATAAATTTCCGTTATTTATAAATTGCCCAGTCTGTGGTATTTTGTGATAGCAGCCCCAACTCAATATCCTGATTTTAAATTACATCTGCAGTATTCCTTGTGCCACGAAAGGAATAAGGAATGTTGTTCTAGGAATTAGAAGTGGACATCTCGGTTAGGTGCGGAGGCTCACGCTTGTAATCCCAGCACTTTGGGAAGCTGAGGTGGGCAGATCACGAGGTCAGGAGATGAAGACCAGCATGGCCAACATTGTAAAACCCCGTCACTACTAAAATACAAAAAATTAGCCAGTCATGGTGGCACACACCTGTAATCCCGGCTACTTGGGAAGCTGAGGCAGGGGAATTGCTTGAATCTGCGAGGCAGAGGTTGCACTGAGCTGAGATCGTGCCACTGCACTCCAGCGTGACAACAGACCGAGACTGTGTCTCAAAAAAAAGAAAAAAGTGGACATCTCTGGGGGAGCTATTTTTCAGCTTACCATAGTCACATGTTCTCGGAATTAGAAGTGGACATCTCAGGGGAGCTATTCTTCAGCTTACCACAGCTAGTGTGCACTCTCTCTTTAAATTCTCAATTCTTTGCATTTGGATTTAAAGTAGATATTCAAAGGCCAGATGAGCCTCAAAGCCACTTTAAAGCTAAGAACCCCACTGTCAATCCAAATATAATCAGCTGTCACAGAAAACAGAACAAATTCAAATCCCAGCCTTCTGTGTTTTCAAAATGGGTTGACTTGTGCTTGTGTTACACATTAATATGGTTCAAATCACACTGAACATAATGTCTTTGAGGACAAGATATAACATAAAATGAAAAATCTCCTTAAGGCTTTCCTTTCAATTCCTGACCTTTACTCATAATAAGAGGTAGAAGCTATTAATGTGGGTGGCTATGGAGATGGGGATGAATTCTTCCTCTTTTCCTCCACATTATTGTCATGAAAAATATTCCAAAACATTTCTTTCCAAATTGATTTGGGTTATAGTATATTGCCAAAGATTATTCATAGGTGCTGTACCCATTCTCTGCTAATAGCTAAGAATTCTTATGTAGATGGCCTTCACTTTTTCAAAATGTAAATGACATACACCCTTACTCATGAAAGAAAAGCTTTTAAGTTTGTGACAGTCATAAAACATTTAAGAAACTGTTACAGAGTATCAGCTGGTCAAGACTGTCTCATAAAGGGAAACCAGGCTCATTAAGACCATTGTTCCATTTGCCTTAAGACCATTGTTCCATTTGCCTTGTGAAACTGCAATGCAGACTGCCTCAATACCTCCATTTTATCAACACTTTTCATTCTTCTGTTTCCCTCCAGTGCAAAAGCACAACCATGGCCTTCTTCAGGATGGTTCCCTATCCTAACTCTGGATAACCACCAGCCACAGCAAGGCTTTCCTCATTCACTCTAAGCTTCGACTGGGAGCTGAGGCGCTCTCTGACAAATACCTCTGCACAGCTCTAAGTCCACACCTGTGAGATTCTTATCCCACTTCCTGGGGCAGGAAGATCCTTGACTAGTGACATATGCCTGGAACCTTATTATGCTTTAGTGATGCTAAGGGAATAACTGAAAGAAGAATGACTTGAAACATTTTTGTGCAACACATAGTATACCTTGCTATTCAAAGGAAATGCAATTTAGAAATGAAAAGACTCAGACCTCAGAAATTTCTGCACATAATGGACAACAAAAAGATTCCATTTAAAAATCATGCCACAAAAGAAATGATGTTTATAGTGATAAATCTGACAGTTACCATAGTTACCGTTTTGAAATACTTTACTCTTAGTATATTTTTTAGTGTAAAGCTTCATGCTAAAAGACATGTAAGAAGATACTTTTTAGTTTTACAAATTAAATAGTAGAAGGAAACTTTTATGACCAATTACTAGACATTTAAATTTACATGATTATTTTTAAGCCTATGTCAGAATTTAGAGTAATTTGGATAAATGGCCAGTATTCAGATAGTTGTTCTATACAAATGGATTTCACATGATATAAATAAGTACTTTATTTCACAAAGTATCTCAATACATCTTAGTGTTGGTTATTTCTGTATGTGAAATCTTATGGTTTCTAAATTTATATCTAAATTTTCATGGTCATATTTTACAAAAAATATTTGATGTATTTGATTTCAAAATGTCACACAGAAAATATTAGTGACTATGGTTTTTCAGAATTTGGTAACCATCTTTGAAGATGAATTCACAGATTTTTAAAGCTTCAATTTGATTTCACAAAAATTTAGTAAGGACAACCCAGCTTAACAAGTTATCTTTAAAATTCAGTTTCCAAGGCAACAATCATAGGTCCCTGTACATTGCTTTAAAAAAATCATTTTTATAAATTTAGTTACTGCAACATCAAAGGCAAGTATTAAATATAACTGCCTTAGTTTTATCTCCTTTTATCAGACTTTTTGAACAAGCTGACTTCTCTCCTTTCAGTGGACTAATGCCAGATCCCCAGTGAGCCGTCCATCAAGTGCAAGAAGGTTAAGGGCAGATAAAATATCAAATTTCCAAAGTGGGCTGCCTGAGAATCTGGACCACTGCAGGTGAGTAAGACCAAACCAGGATCCGGCCTACTGGATATGTACAATAGCAAGTCTCCTTCTACCTTACCTCTTATAACTTCACAACTGATTCAATCAGGAGACAAGAGCAGAGGTCTTACCTGCACATTTCACTCCCTGAGCAATGAGACCCCACATAAAGTTGGCACAGTATTCACACCAGTGTGGCCCTCTGAACGTATGTACCTGAAAAAAAAGAGGGGCAAAGTCAGGAGAGGGGAAACACATGGATGAGAAGACTGTTTCATATCAAAGTACTAATATACAAGCCACAGATTCTATCTGTCTGTTTGTCTCTCTCTCTATCTATCTATCTACTGAGAGAGAGTGAGTGAGTGAGTGAGAGAGAGAGAGAGAGAGAGAGAGTCTCTCGCTGTCACCCAGGATGGAGTGCAGTGGTGCTATCATAGCTCACTGTGGCTTCAACCTCCTTCAAGTGATCTTCCCACCTCAGCCTCCCGAGTAGCTGGGACTCCAGGCACACACCACCACACCCAGATAATTTTTGTATTTTTTGTAAAGACAGGGTTTCATCATGTTGGTCAGGCTAGTCTTGAACTCCTGAGCTCAAGCAATTGGCCTGCCTCTGCCTCCCAAAGTGCTGGGATTACAGGCCCAGCCCACAGTTAATAATGAAGGGGCAACATGGCTGCATTTAGAAGAACCTTGGTTGAGTGAAACTGACAAACAGTTAACATTTTTTTCAGAGCTTGATTTCTTCTTCATTTTAGGAATGATAAATCAGATTAATATTCTGTAACTTATTTTTGAAAACTATTTACATAGTGGAGTTTTCCAACGTCCCCTCAGGCGCAAGCACTCTAATCTATACAAATACTGGCCTTTCTATGTACTATGCTATTTCTACAGTACTATGACATGAAAAGGCATGAGGAGCCATATAGAATATGTCTTGGGTCTTGTCAGGATTTTTTTTCAGATAATTTACCTTCTGTGACCATGAGTAGGATCACAGACATTAAAGGTGATACTTATTGATGGGTCACATCAGAATCATCAAAAAGGCCCAACTTCCATTTAAAATATTTGATATTTATTATGTTAGCAAAGAGAATGAATATATTTTAGAAAATACAGAAGCTATTGTTCATCAGAAACCTTGTTTGAGTACAGTAATTATTCACTAACCATTCCAGCTCATAAAGGTTCTTTCTACTATTATTTATCTTCCAAAAGAAAGGAATCCCCAAAGAAGAAAGGATTCATATGTTAAGATAGCTATCCCTTTTATATATAGGAAAGAAAAGGCATTCTAGGTTAACTCAGATAGAAAAATATTGGTAGAATGACCTTCTTCACAGAACTGGAAAAAACCACCTTAAACTTCATATGGAACCAAAAGAGAGCCTGCATAGCCAAGTCAATTCTAAGCAAAAAGAACAAAGCGGGGGGCATCACACTACCAGACTTCAAACTATACTACAAGGCTACAGTAATCAAAACAGCATGGTACTGGTACCAAAACAGAGATATAGACCAATGGAACAGAACAGAGGTCTCGGAGGCAACACAACATATCTACAACCACCTGATCTTTGACAAACCAGACAAAAACAAGCAGTGGGGAAAGGATTCCCTGTTCAATAAATGGTGTTGGGAAAGCTGGCTAGCCATGTGCAGAAAGCAGAAACTGGACCCTTTCCTGACGCCTTACACTAAAATTAACTCCAGATGGATTAAAGACTTAAACATAAGACCTAACACCATAAAAACCCTAGAAGAAAATCTAGGCAAAACCATTCAGGACGTAGGTGTAGGCAAGGACTTCATGACCAAAACACCAAAAGCATTGACAACAAAAGCCAAAATAGACAAATGGGACCTAATCAAACTCCACAGCTTCTGCACAGCAAAAGAAACAATCATTAGAGTGAATCAGCAACCAACAGATTGGGAAAAAATTTTTGCAGTTTACCCATCTGACAAAGGGCTGATATCTAAAATTTACAAAGAACTAAAACAGATTTACAAGAAAAAAACTAACAAGCCCATTCAAAAGTGGGCAAAGGATATGAACAGACGCTTTACAAAAGAAGACATACGTGAGGCCAACAAACATATGAAAAAATGCTCATCATCACTGGTCATCAGAGAAATGCAAATCAAAACTACATTGAGATACCATCTCACGCCAGTTAGAATGGCAATCATTAAAAAATCTGGAGACAACAGATGCTGGAGAGGATGTGGAGAAATAGAAACACTTTTACACTGTTGGTGGGAGTGTAAATTAGTTCAATCATTGTGGAAGACAGTGTGGCGATTCCTCAAGGACATAGTAACCAGTAATGGGATTGCTGGGTCAATCCCATTACTGGGTATATATCCAAAGGATTACAAATCGTTCTACTATAAGGACACGTGCACACGAATGTTCATTGCAGCACTGTTTACAATAGCAAAGACCTGGAACCAACCCAAATGCCCATCGACGATAGACTGGATAGGGAAAATGTGGCACATATACACCATGGAATATTACGCAGCCATCAAAAACGATGAGTTTGGGTCCTTTGTAGGGACATGGATGAACCTGGAAACCATCATTCTCAGCAAACTGACAGAAGAGCAGAAGATCAAACACCGCATGTTCTCACTCATAGGCAGGTGTTGAACAATGAGAACACATGGACACAGGGAGGGGAGCACTACACCCTGGGGTCAGTTGGGGGGAAATAGGGGAGGGACAGTGGGGGGTGGGAAGCTGGGGAGAGATAGCAGGGGGAGAAATGCCAGATGTAGGTGATGGGGAGGAAGGCAGCAAATCACACTGCCACGTGTGTTCCTATGCAACAATTTTGCATGTTCTTCACATGTACCCCAAAACCTAAAATGCAATAAAATAAATAAATGGGGAAAAAAAAAAGAAAGAAAAATATTGGTAGAATATTTTGCAGAGGCAATGAATCTGAACTCCAAACATTAAAAAAGAATAAAATCTTTAATATTATCAGTAAATTACAATTTGATTTCAACATATCTGCCAAAACCACTACTACACATAAAATTCACAACTAAGATTGTCATTTTTACAAATGCTATATTAATGTATTGACTAAATCTTAGAAACCAAGTAAATGATTTTTAAGATACACATATGAAACTTATTTCTTCAAATGAAAATGTCATGAATGTAAGACATACTATTATGTGTTCCATTTAGAAAAACCATGCCAATTAAATTATGGAAAGCCATTGACTATAAGATAAATCCCAAATTCAGAGACATTAAAATGGAAAATAAAATGTGCATATAAGAATCAACATAGTATATCAGAATTCAAAATACTACACTGGCCCAAATATCCATATAATGCTGCAGTGGATAACCCTGGGTTCATTCAGAGTGGGGATGTGCTTGCAACTCTTTGTCGTTGCCAACTGAGCCTGAGAACAAAATTTTATGCTGATTTTGAAAAGGAGGCTGTAATCCCTTCTACGTGTTTTATGAAGGAGGGTAAGGAACGCAGGCGCAGTTGCCTCTAGATTGTTAACAATGTTCAGAGCCTGTAAACTCAAAAGCATTTCCTGGAGTTGCTGAAGCGGAGCCCAAGATCAACATTCAGATACTCTGTAACGTCCCTGTGTTCTTCAGAGTGAATAATACTGGATAAAGCATGCAACCGTGCTTTATTCTCATGGGAATGAGTGAAACAGACAGTGCTGATTCAGAAAGAGAGTTATATAATCATGAAACAGCAACAGAATTGTGAAGCTACTTTGAGAGAAAGTCTTTGGGACATAAACTCATAGGCTGCCAAATCTCAGGATAATCAGTGTCACTTACTGGTAAGGCAAATAAAGATGCAATGAAAGTATGGAGTCCCAGGAATCACTTTGTGCCTACCAGTTATGTCATGATAAAGTGTCTAAAAGTTACACAGGGAAAACAAAAAGAGTAGACAGTGCTTTGTTATTAAACAAATAGGCATCTGGCAAACAGCACTAGCTACTGAGCTGTTATAATAGAACCAATCCCTTCCTTACCTTCCTGAAAACAGCAACGAATGTGGCATTTCAAAAAGCCTGGGATATTTCTTTATATTACATACACTGAAGAGAGGATTTTAACTGTCCGAGCAGACCCTATGTTCTCCAATTAAAGGATCACACATGTAATCTCAGAAAGCAACCTTTACGAGATTGTTATTTATATAGTTCATTCTTGGATAGCTTTTTAATGAAGGCATCCTGAGCCATTTGAGGCTGAATTTTTTTTTTTAAATCATTTAGAAGGTAGCTTATGTAGTTCTCCATGAAAATGTTCTGGAAATAGGCCTTGCAGAACCAGCAGCTTACACAACTTCTATTTATATAACAGGGTTTAACTGGATTCCCTTTTGAATTTTTATATCTAAAATACATATATCTTAAGTTTTCTTTGTTCTGTAACCTCTATGACTCCACAACACTGGATTGTATTTGTAAAAAGTTGACTACTGTAGCCTTTGAGTCTTTTATTCCCCTAAAGGTCATCAAAACAAATACTGACTTTATTGATTACTTAATCATTTTTATTCATTCATAAACATCTATTAAGTGATGACCTATACAAAAATAAAAGGGGGTTTCTCCTACTAAACACAGTGTGAAAATACTCTAAAATATATGCAAAGTGTGAGAGAAGCTGGGAAGAGATGCAACCCATGAGCTAAGTCCTTATCCAGGTGAGTTGATCAGGCCTGTGGGGCAGAATGGGGGAGTGTGTGTGTCTGTTGGAGTGGGGTAAGGAAAGGCTGTTCCAAGAAAAATCAAAGGCACAAGGCATGAGAGAAACAATGTGTCTAGGGAACTGCAAGGAAGTTCGGTCTGGGTGGAGTGGAAATGACTGGCCTGGCAGGAGATGAGAGAGGCAGACAGGGACTTTTCAATGCCTGCACATTTATATTCTGCCCAGTGAGCAATGTGGGGCCACTGAGGATTGTTAAGGACAGTGATACAGTCAAGGGGGCAAGGTTAAATGAAGACAGACTAGGTAGGGCAGTGCTATGGTAGTCACCTAGATAACAATGTGTATCTGAACTCAGGCAGTGGTAACTGAGAGAAAGGGACAAACTGGATTTAGGAGGCAGAATCAACAGGGCTTAGTAACTAATTGAACCAGAGGCAATGGAGAGGGAAAGAAACTGGTCTGTTAGGGTTTAATGTCTGATGACTGGGGAAGA